TCTCTGGGATTGTTATGAGACTTATCTAAGAAAATAGGTGTAAAGTGCTTAGAACAAGGACAGGGCACATAGTACATCTCAATACATGTTGGTCAATCTATTTCTAGAGGTCATCGGGGATAAACGACAGGATTGGAATTTGAGCACCGAGATCAAGCTTGGAACTTTTCCTGGGTGCCCACTGCCTTCCTCTTCCCTTCCTGGGCCAGCTTTTCTCTCTGCCTTAACTGACCGTAACACGGAAGTGTATATAAGTTGTATCTATCAAATAATATTTGTTTTCTTTGTTACTCATTATTTAAAGGGTGTGAATGTACTATTCTCTGGTTCTCGTTCCCAAAAGCAAATTTCCTAACATGACTCGTATATAGTACTAGACTTCGAATGCCCTCAGTTCCCCAATCCAGTCTGGGACTGCTTACTTAACAGCAACAGAACTATTCATTTCCCCTCCTCTGCTGCCACCGTGTGGTCATAGCAGCTTATAACCAGCATTTCCACATGCTTTGGCTGGGCCGGGGATTCGATTTGAACTTGCAGTTTGGTTCTAGGTGAGCATCGTGTAGTACACCTCTGATCAAAGACATGTAACATTCTTGGAAAAAAGCAATATAACGGATAGCCTTTTGCCCTACTGTGGTCAATTCCAGCCGTAGAGATTTTCCCCACTTAAGCAGCATTCACTTATGTCTACTTAGATCGGAGACCAGAAATGACAGGACATAGCCAGTCCCTGTCCCCAAGGACTTCACAGTCTGATGTGTAAGCAAACAGTTACGATTCACCTTTAGCAACCGCACATGCTGAAGACAGGATTACCCGACAGGAAACGGAGACAAAGTCATTGAAGTCACCAGGACTTTCACATCTCATACTTTAAGGAAAACTTTAAAGTTTTCATTAAATGCAAAATGACAGAACGAGGACAACAGTAGACAACTTACGGAGACATTAGTATGCGTTGATCAAAGTGCTGAGTGCTTCGCCAGTGTTTACCTCACGGACCTGTCATCCAACCGCCTGTTTTTACGGGCGGGGAACAAAGGCACAACCAGTGCTTGCCAGAGCCAGGCTTTGTGCCCTCGAAACTTTTCTTAACCAATGTCATCATAACCTGAAGGAGCACACAGAGTGGTGACCGCTTCTTTCCGAAGAGACAGGAAAGACAAGGATCCAGGGAGGATGAAAGATTTGAACTGAGTTTTAAAGGACATATAGGGTTTTTCCAAGCAGTCAAGGAGATTCCAGGGTCTTAGATAAGGTTCTTTTTTGATGAGTGGACTCAAGGCTTTGTGGAGAATGGATAGTAAATGAACAGATAACATTTATGAAATGTTTACTACATGCCACACCATGCTGAGAACTGTAGCTCTTTGAATGAATCCTTGCACCGACCCTCTGAGATAGATTCTGATTATCCTCATTTAGGAGACCCATGGTCATTCACACAATCAAAACTAAATTCTTGGGCTGGAGAGAATGAAGATGGGAGTGTGACTTCACTAAGGACACCTCTTTATGTAGTGTTGGCTTTCAAAGTAGATAAATGTTTCATGTGTTAAAAAAAAACAAAGGTTAAATTAAAAAGGATGAATAAAAGCAAATCCCAAAATTGAATCATACAGAAATAAATGAATCTACTTCTATATCAAGTTGGTAACATAACCACACAGAAAAAGTTAATTCAAATGATTTTTAACTCCATATCTTATACATCCTTAACAGGATACACTCTAAAGAAAAAAACGACAACAAAAAAAAAAACAAAAGAACTGCAAATCTTGAAATTTTAGAGTTGTTACTAATTAGTGGCATAGGCATAATTATGAAACTACTATGTGTGTATTAAATGAAAATAAAAATTAGTAAAAATATGGATGTTAGGAATTATGTATCCATTGGAAATATCAGTATAAATTCATCGTTTTAAAACAATATTTTTTCCTGTTCTGTCCGTTGCAAGGGCGTGGAAGCAATGACATCCCAGTAGCAATGAACGCTCATACTATCTAGACTTTAGTTTTGAATGTCATTCTCCACAAAAGGAACCAGAACTTCTTGGAAAACAGTTAATTCCAACCCTTATGCAAAGAAACATGATCCTGGAACATCTTAAGCCAGAAAGAAGGGGAGGGCCTAAAGACTAACGATTCATCTCAAAAGGATACAGGAATTGGCTTTAAAAGGCTACTACTGGCCCAAAGCATACACACACACAAAATGATAGTAATAGATATTGAATTTATAAAAATCTGTATGTCTAAAGTGATACTGAAGAGGTGGGAGGAAGGTAGGGCTCTACTTTGCAGAAGATTGCCAGGTAATAAATGCAAAAGAAATGAGAGAATTAGAAAATCACTAATGTAATAATTTGGTTCAGGCAAGGATCATCAATAGATACTAAAACTATTAGGTTAAAGGTTTTGGGAGGGAAAGATATTTACACAGTCTCCAAGTACCGCATCACAGATGACTTACTATTTACAAAGAGGAAAATAATTTTATAATATGGAGATCTGGCAGTCACACCTTAACCAGGTGATTAAACCTCGGATCACCAAGCAGACATCCGGTACCCCTGACTTGATGCGGTAAGAACTACACAACATCACTGCTGGTCACATTACTGTCAAAAGTGAGGACACAATTAAAAATCAGAATGTGGGCATTCTGTCAGACAATTGGCCTGGACTCTAAAAAGCCACTGACATGAAAAACAGAAACAATGGTAAGAAGACTGTTCTAGCTTAAGGGAGACTAAAGTACCAAAAATGCACTGCGTGTGAATCTTGATTGGATCCTAGATTTAAAAATAAACTTAAAGTTTGGAAACAAGTAGGGAAAATTGATTATGGCCTATATTTTGGATTTTGTTGAGTTATCGTTAATTTTCTTGGGTGCGATGATGGTACTGTGGTTACGAGGGAGAGTGACCTTTTCATTCTTTGGAGATGCAGCAAAGGATTGAGAGGCAAAGTCCAGATGCCTGCAACTTACTTTAAGATGATTCCACAAAAAAAGAGATACAGCAAATGTAGCAAAATGTGATGGGTATACAGGTATGAATTGTAATTAATATTCATTTTCCTGTGGGTTTTCAAGTTTTTGAAATAAAAGCTGAATTTTTTAAAATTCACTGATTCATAAAATTTAAGGCTCTGAAGGGTCTTAAAAGATCATCTAATACAACCCCTCATTTTACAAATGGGAAACTGAGGCCAAGGGAAAGGAGACGTGCCGAAGGGCTCACAGCTGGCTACTGAGAGTGAGTTTATGTTCACTATTCTCCTGATTGCTGCCACCTGTAGTGGGACAGGGTGGCAGTGTGGTCAGGGGTATGAGGGACTTTGGGAGGAAGAATTTGGTGGAGCTATGGCAGGAAGGGGGGACTCCTCAGTGGGGTCATGTTGTGGGTCACGGCCACAGTCCAGAGGGGAGGAGGTTCTGACATGAAACACAGGCAGGCCCCGGAGACCCAGGGCTATACCCAGCTCAACTCATTCTTCTCTTCTTAAAAATCTCCCCTTATTTTCTTCCTCCAACCTATTCTCCCCACTACTCTTTTTTTAACTTCATTGTATTGTCTCTTTATTGTATTGTCACTTGGTTTCTTCGTCTTTGCAAAGTTGCTGCTTCCCACCCTGAAAGGACGTCGCATTCAAAGAACCAGTACGTTCATTATATTCTTTCTGATGCCTTAGCAAATGAAAGGCACAGTTGTGGGCACTGGTGATGATAAAAACAGACAGTATTTATTTTAATTTTTATTTTTTATAGGTGAGGGAACCCTTGACCTCGCAGATTGCAAGGACCTTATCAGCTTATCAGCTTACGATCCTTTATTTTTTACACCTACAGCACCTGGTCTTCCTAGGTGGTCTCCCATCCAAGTACTAACCACGCCCAACCCTGCTTAGCTTCTGAGATCAGACGTCGGGCTTGTTCAGGGTGGCATGGCCATAGACGAGTGTTTTAAGTATGATATGTGAAGATGCATGTTACACATCCCCATTTCACAGATGAGGAAACTGAGGCATGGGGGTATTAGTATCTTGCCCACAACAATGCTACGTGTCAGCCTATTCCCAGGGTGAATACTGTGTCATGCCACACGCAGAGAGGAAAACAAAGTCCACAAGTTAGTGGGCTTTCATTCCAGGAAGTGAAATCTGGAAAACTATTGGCATAGTTTGTCATAGGCAAATGTTTCTCTTCCCTTCCCCCCGATTCCATGGCTAAAAAGGAGAATCACATAAAGAGGAAGAAAAATGCTCTGAATGCTCTTTTCTCAAGTCCTTCCCTCCTTTATAAATGAAGAAAAAGGAAACCAAAAGAAGTGAACCCTTGTTTTGTGACAAACGCTGTCACTCACCTTAATCCACAGGATGGTGATTTCAAACTTGAAACTACCTAGTAATCACCTGGAGGGCTTGTAAAAAGTGAGCCACTACCAGAATTTCTGATGCAGTAGGTCCAAGGTGAGGCCTGAGAATGTGCATTTCTTACAAGATTCCCCAATGAAGCTGACACAGAACTACCCATGAAACAGGTACCGTTGTCCCTACTCCAGAGGTGAAACCGAGCATTGGGAAGACCAGGTGCCTCACCAGAAGCTACCCCACCAATGACAGACTGAACCTGAACCCTGATCTGACTCCAAAGCTTGTGCCGTTTGCATGATGCATGCGTTGGAGACCTAACGCTGGCATTTCCCCATTCCATGTTGTTCACTTTATTCTGGAATTTCCATTCCTGAAAGGCAAAGCCAAGATTCTATAAGAGTGTAATATATTTTCATTTCCAATGGGAACAAAAGGTGGCTTGTAGAAGCTATTTTTAAATGTTCCTGTCCATTATCCAGTGATTCCTCTTCAAGAATGATCCAAAATATAGCCCAAAATACAGATGCTAAGTGTTTCAGCAAAAAACGGGTACTCTAAATATCCAATATTAAGGGACTGGTTAAATAAATTATGGTATATACAAATTATGGACTATTATGAAGCCATTAAAATTATTTATTTAAATTTTTATAATAAGTCAAAGTATTTACAATATAATAAAACAGAACACATAACTAAATTTAGTAATCTCTCAATGTTATTAAAAATATCAAAAAAAGACTGAAAGGAAATAACCTAGAATATTGACAACCGTCTCTATTTTTAATAATTTTCTGTATTTTCCACACTTTACAATGAGTTTTAATCAGAAAAAAAAAACATGCACTTTCTTTTTGATTAACTACAACAGATACTTTCAAGATCCTTCTTTAGTGAGTCAATTCCTCAACAGCCAAGAAAAGCAAGACTGTGAATTTTAAAGCCAATATTTAATTCCAGATTACATTTCCCCTGACCCTAAAATATACATTTTTAAGTAAAAAACAAGAGGAAAAAAGCAAATAGCAATCATTATTACACAGAAAGAAGACTAGAAAGATACCTGTAAAAATGACAATGGGGATTATTTTTGGTTGGTAGAATTATAAGGCTTTTAGCTTAATAATTTTTATTACATTTTATTTTCTACAATGAGCATCTATTACTTTTGTAATAAAAAGTCTGTGCTGTTTTTCTTTTTAAGAGACAACCACCAAGCAAATTACAGGACATCTATACGATGGAATATCAATAGCCATTTTAAAAATGTTGTAGAAGAGTATTTAAGAACATGAAAACGAGTTTGCTAGATTGGCTGACCATACTATAAAACAGTATGCTCAGAATGATCCCATTGTTTTATTTAACAACAAACAAAATGTCTACATCTACCAAAAAAATCTTAGAAGTTTTTAAAAATCTTCATGAAACAAAAAATTACCTTATTAAATAAAAGAGACAGAGAAAGGAGTATGATTTTACTCAAAGACCCTCCTCTAAAAAAGGCTCTCCAGCTGCAGCCAGCTCTGATTTGTAAGTCAAACTGGTCTTCTAGCATCAACAGGGCAGTCGGCATCATCCTTGCTCCTCCTCTAGACATAATAATGCTTGAGGGGGACATCAACTCCAACGGCAAAGGGCGCCCCACTTGATGAGGTAAACACATGCCACCTGGAACTTTAAAACAAGACCCTGGGAGAGAACAGGGTCTGGGGAGCAGGGAGGAAATTTAACTGCCTTCTTAGACTATGGATCTGATTATAAATATAACGTACAATCATCTGAATAAGGAAATGCACAATTTATGTTGCAAATAACACACTAACTATAGCATTTTACTCCTAGACCTGGCAGAGGCCTCTGAGATCACCTGAAGACAATTTCCAGGACACTGTCTTTAGGATGCCATGTAAATACTGACTGGAAAACACAACAAGGATGTCATGCTGGAGAATTTTAAGTAAACAGTCCGAAAGCCTGGTTTCCTGTTTATACAATTGTAAGTCATTTTATTGCTAGCCACAAGGTGATTCAGCATTTTGATTTAATCTAAGGATTTCTTGACTTTACGTATATAATAAAAGAGACTACAAAGGATAGCTTCAAAGCCAGAAGACACGGGAAGGAACAAAAATAAACACACAGACATGCGTCTTCCAGCCTAAACAATGAGAAATCTAGGCCACTAGATCTTCAGTTCAATCTATTTCCAAATCACTATCCTCACTGTGACAGGTGGCAGAGTTATGCAGGGACGTCAGCACCAAGACTTCCTTTTCTGGGAGCAAACCAAATTCCTGTAGAAAAGCTTCAAGGTCCACAGCAAAGAAATCTTCCCCCAGCTGGTCAGTGACTCGAACAAAATTGCCAATCAATTCGCCCCCCTTGTAGAGGAGCAGGGCAGGAAGGGCACTGCTGGTGAACCGGCTGCTGGCGCCGATAACTGAGCTCTTCACCCGGCAGAATTTGACAGCTGGGTACTCCGCGGCAAGGCAGATCATGCAACCATGCATGGCGTCGGTCCCCGGAATGCCATCCTCATAGATATGGACCATGATGAGCGTGCTCTTCTGTTCTTTGTCGATCATGTCTAAAAACCCTTCTCCACTGGGGATCTCAAAAACCTGCCTGAATTGGGGTCCCCTGTGAAGCTGCTGCTGCATCTCTTCCATTCTCTGCTTCCGGTACTGCTGCAGAAACTCTTCATCGTCCTGGTCCTCGTTCATCATGGAAAACTCCTTCAGAGTCATCTGAAGGAGGACCAGCAGGTGAGCATAGGAAACACACACTGAATATTTGCGATAACAGTTAATATGTACCGCATGTTTAGGCGGCCCCATGCATCGCATCTCACTGAATTCTCATGCCAACTCCATTGGGAAGAAACCTTTATTACTCCCACTTTACTAATGAGGTTCCGAGACTTGAGATTATTCGCACAGATTCACATAGGTAACAAGTGTAAGACTGGGATTGAAACTAGATTTTTTTTGAAATGCCCAGGCTCTTAACTACTGTATCAATATTGCTTCTCAATTCAAACAGACAGCGTCAGATAATATCACTTCACGAGCTTTTTTATTGTTGTCAGTCCTGGCAGTGGGTTAATTATTTTACCCACTCTTTTGTTTTGTTGAAAAGACAACAGGACATTAAGGAACTTTAAAAAGAACGCTCATAACCCCTGCCCTGAACACACACACCCCGCACAGACACACAAAACGCACACGGTCACATCCTAAAATGGATTTTGCTTTTACAGCAGCAGTTGTGGGTGTACCAATTAAGCTATAACCTGCTTTTACCACTTAGCATTATCATAAATATTTCGTGTTTCCGAATATTTTTTATAAAGTTATATATCAAGTGCCATATTTTGCTTAACTACTCCCCTATTTCTGGCATTCAGGCAGCTTCCTGGCCTGTTCTATTGCAAAGAATTCAGTAGGACAAAAAGAGCCTGTCTCAAGACTGCCCATGTGATCACGTGACATGTTGCTTCATCTGGTCTCTCATCTCAATATAAGGAAGCATTGTGAACAGTGGGCACACTTCCCTGCAGCCAGCTTAAGTTACAAGTCTCTCTTCTCCTGCCCTGGTGTAGCAGAGACAGCGCTGCTCCCATACGAACCCTGGCTCTGCCCAACCCCGCATGGATGAGGAGGTGAAGGCCAGGGGACCACACCAGATCAGAACTGAGGTTACTGCATCACAGCCAGAACCATTCTGAATGCACTGTTTTACTTATCATTCCTCATCTTCATGCCATCTCAGAGCTCTCCATTCTAACTCTGCCCACCAAAGTGGCTCTTTCTGAGCTGTTGTGATCTTTGTTTGAGTCTAATGCCCTGAAACCATCCTTCTGATCAAGGTGAATGGCTCCTCACTTAATCCTCTTATCTGCGCCCTGATCCCGGCTGGTATTTCCAGCCAAGAGCTGCTTTGGGCCATATTCAAATGACCTCCTAGACATGCACCCATGGTCAGAGGATATGGGGTGGGAGGGAGTGGGTCCTTTTGATACTGGGAAGAGTGTGAGGGACCTAGTTCCATATACCTTCCAGAGTGTCTATTTGCTTCTACTGTATTGCCTCATTAGAATAAATTTGTATAAATAGGCTTCCAGTGAAATAGCAGCATCATGGGAAGAGGAGAAAAATCTGGGTTAGAATTCGAGTTCCTATTAACTTTTACTCATTGCATGACCCTGAGCAAGTTCCCTACCATGTCTAAGCATCGGTTGCATCATCTATAAAATAAAGATATTATCACCAACCTCAAAGGGTTACTTCTGGCCCAAGGTAAGAGTTCAATAAAGGACAAGAAACTCCTATTTACTGAGCACTTTCGATGGGCAAGGCACTATAAAGGGCACTGCACTCACACAGCACAGCCCTGTGAGGGAGGGATACTGACCTCATTTAACCAATGAAAAGCCCGATTCAGAATGGAAGAGACGTCCCCAAAACATCCCCACAGTCACTAGTGGCAGAGCTGAGATTCAAACCAAAGTGTGTGTTTCAGTGATGACTCTATTCAGCATTGCACAGCTTCCTGGAGGCCAAATCAAACATCCTACACCTCTTGAATCACTAACCCCAGTTCCAGCAGCCAGGGCAGCTTCTGAGGAAAAAGCCTGGGTGCTGCGAATTACCTTCCCACTGATCTTCTCCTGGAGGTCCTTCTGTTTCTGCTGCTCCTCCTCTTCATCCAGATGGGACCTGCAGGTCATTGACAGCTTCTTGATCAGCCTTTCCATCTCCCGGCATTGCTCCTCCCTTTGCTCTGTCTCCAACTGTTTGAAGCGGCGCCAGTCATTGATCACACCTTTTGGACCTGGGTTGGGGGTGAACATGGAGGGGACCGAGAAGAATGGGTAAAGAGCGATGGACCAGCTAACACCTGTCTAAAGCTCGCTCCGACTGCACGGTGACGCTCACACAGGGCAGCGTGGTCTACGCACGGTAATGTCCACTGCGGCATGGCTGGCAATAATTAAAGGGCCGAGCTACGGTCTAATATTAGGAGAGGCATTAAATAATGATTCACCTACTCAAAGGGAAGTAAAGCAACTCTTAGAAAGAATGAGGTAGCTATGTTTCCTGCCATGAAAGGTGTTCAAATATATTAGGTTAAAAAAAAAAAGAGAGAGAACAAAATGCAGATATCATGGTATGATCCTCTGACTTTCAGAAAGAGAACTGTATGTGTAAGTATTTATAGATATTTATATACATGCACATACATTTGAATGTTCATAGAAATAGGGTTAGAAGGATGTATAAACTGTTGACAGTGGTTATCTTTAAGTAGCAAGACATAAGAGATAAGAGGACTGGTGAGAGAGAACTTCTGCTTTTTTCTTTCTACACTTCTGTATAATCTGAATTTTTATAACATTATGGTAGGTTGTCCTGTTATTCAAACTAACCCCACACCTACCTGCCCCATGCTATAAATCCCTGCACCTTGACATGTGATTTATAGGACCTCCTGTGGCATGAGTACATGTATCCCTAGCCCACTGATGTTGGGCTTGGCCATACGACTTTCTTTGGCCAATGGATTCTGAGCAAAAGATTTATGAGCTATTACATGTCTCCAACAGCCC